TGCTTAAGTGGCCTCTCCCTACAGCTCCATGGCCTCTAGCAGCATCCAGCTTTCCCTCTAGACAGGCTCCCAGACTTCCACAGGCCCCTGGGGGACAAAGATTTTTCATTTTATTCTCCATAGGCCCCCCAAGGTATTGCTAGCAATAGGCTTTTAGTATGGGAATCAAAATATACATAGATGGAAAAGAAGAGGCACACATATTAGATCGATCATCTATTCCCACCCATTTTATAAGATACAGTTTATGAAGAAACTCGTTAGATCTGGCTGTCTTTGCTCAGATACTAATCTTAGTTCTTTACAGTTCAGGATCTTTACGATTTTTTTTTTAACTGTTTAGTAGAAAATCCCAAACATACTGAAAAGTAGAAAAACAGGCAACTGAACCCCTGTGTATCAATCACCCTGCTATCACAATCATTAATTTATGGCCACTTTTATTTTATCTATAGTTTTACTCTCTACACACTGGATTATGTGAGGCAAATTATAGGCATCCTATTACTTCTCAGGATATATTTTAACAACAAAAATATATCCTATCTAGTAAAGAGGGAATATGCTAATTGATTGTGCCATGCCAGCACAGCCAAGGATTCTTTTGGTGAGCCTGAGGATGAAGGATGAAGAAAAGACAGACAAAGAGAATGAGCTGGGTCTAGGTGGATCTTCTGTGCCAGGCTGAGACCACAGAACAGATCCAGATGGCAAGATGAGCCTTGGTTTATAGTCAGAGGTAAACAAGGTAGTGGTCACCATAGTTATAATTTCTTGTGAGTTTCACTTGTTTTGGCATCACTTGCTCACTTTCCACAGCCCATTACCTACCCAAGAAAGACCTAGGGAGGGTCTTAATTATGCTAAGAGGGCTGTGCCCTCTAAGCTGGGACTTGTTTTTAGCTTTGCCAACAGGTCAGTCCAAGGCTTAATCCTATAACTGCTCCCTACAATTTACCCTCGCGCCATTGCAAAGGATGGTGGTGCCCACTGCCAATAAAGAAGAAATATGCTAATTGAATGCCCCACCCTTAAAGATGGCAGCACCCACAACCAATAAAAAGGGAATATTCTAATTGACTGCCTCACCCTCAAAGATGGTGGCACCCACAGCCAGAAGATAGTGGCACCCAGGCCCCTCAATCCTGTGTGGGTGGTAGTCATGCTACAAGGCCAGGCCCACTGCGTGCACCTGCCTCCGGAGTTCCCTAGTCCCCTCAACCTTCCAGCCACCCACGGCCAGCCCACAGGGCAGGCAAGCTTCAGAGGATGGCTATCCAGCCTCCCAGGGCTGCCCAAGGCTCAGGTAACCAGGGCTGGCTGAGGCTTGTGCTGCTGGCAGTGGCAAGAGCAGAGGTGTGATGGGGCGTCATCTTCCCCCGATTACTGGGTCACTTCCCACCCATGAGGGCTCCTGGACTGTGAAAGGGGGCAAGCCGGGCTGAGAAACCCCACTCCAGTGCATGAATTTTCATGTACTGGGCCTCTAGTAGATAATACATTAAGAAATCCCACAATAAACCCACATTTTACCCTGGCAAAGGAAGGAAAGAAGGGAATTTTGTCTCAATTTGAGAAAAAATAAAAAAACCTATACAAAATTAGAAACATTCCAAATCCAGGGTTCTAAAATATCTTAATTACATACAATAAAAAACAAGATAGTCTTTTCCATAGCCAAATTAGTTTTTTAAAAATAAAGAAAAAAACATTAGGAAGAAAAGGGAAACAGTGAAAAAGCAGAACATGTAGTTAAGAGAGGAAGCCCCTGGAATTGACAACTAACATCAGTGGGAGTAAGAAGATATTCTAGCATATCCAGAATTTGGGATTTAAATTTGCCAGGATTTTGTATCTTCAAACTTTGCTTTTTTATTTTTTTATGTCACAGGAAATTACTACCAATAAAGAGTCCATTACCACAACTTAACAAAAGGAAAATAATCCAATTAAAAATGGGTGAAAGACCTAAATAGACACTTCTCATAAGTAGACATACAGAAGGCTAAGAGGCATATGAAAAAAATGCTCCAAGTCACTAATCATGTGAGAGATGCAAATCAAAATACAATGAGGTACCACCTCACACCTGTCAGAATGACTATCAACAAACAAGTGTTGGAGAGGATTAAAAAAAAAAAGGGGGGGTGTGGGGGGAACTCTCATACAATGCTGATGGGAATGCAGACTGGTGCAGCCACTGTGAAAAACAGTATGAAGTTTTCTCAAAAAATTAAAAATGGAATCTCAATTTGACCCAGCAATCGCACTTCTAGGAATATATATCAGAAACACCAATCAGAAAGAATGTAAATAGCAGAGCAATCTACAATGGTATCATTCTGAGTTTGTTGATGAAGAATGTGAGATTTAGAAGCATGCAATAGAGTCTGGAGTCAGGCTCAGAGATCACTATTTCCAAGACTTCTGCAAGTCACTAATAATTTTATTTTTAATCAACTGTTTTTGAATAGTTTTATATTTACAAGAAAAATGCAAAAATCTGACTTTCCTTTATTATTAACAGCTGTTAATGGCCAGCCTGTAAACCACCATAGGCCTCTCACCCAGACCACCCCACGCACCAAGGGAACCCCAACTCTGATCCGGGATACCCTTCAGGGCAAACCAGCTGGCCCCCAACCATGCACCAGTGTAGGACACGGTTATAGGGTTAAGCCTCGGACTGACCTGCTGGCAAAGTCGCAAAAAAAATCCCAGTTTAGGGGGCACAGTTCTCTGAGCATAAAGCTTGATCTTGTGACTACTCCCTAGATTTTTCCTGAGTAGCTAATAGGCTGTGGGAGGGGCAGCAAATGCTGCCAAAACAAGTGAATCTTACAAGAACATTGTAAATTACCTTGGTTGTCCCTGACTATAAATAAAGCATCAGCTTTGCAGTCTGGATCTGGTCTGTGGTCTCAGCAAAGCAAAAAAAGATCCATCTAGACCCAGCTTATTCTCTTATATGTCTTTATTCTTTATCCATCACCAGCCATCCTTCAGGCTTGCCAAACCCTTGGCTGTGTGGTCTGCCACTCACCAGGCCTCTATCCTATCTAATAAATGAGTAATATGCAAATTGACATCACTACAACACACAAGATGGCTGCCCCCATGTGATAAAAGATCCTGCCTCCATGTGGACACAAGATGGCCACCACGAGATAGCTAAGAGGAGATTGCAGTTGTGGGCAATCAGGCCTGCAGGGCAGGGCAGTTAGGAGTGACCAAGCTGGGCAAAGGAGGACAGTTAGGGGCAACCAGGCTTGCAGGAAAGGACAGTTGTGGGGGTGGGGACCCAGACCTGAAGGGGAGGGCAGATGGGGTGATCCAGGCCTGTAGGGGAGGGCAGTTAGGGGTGATCAGGTTGGCAGGGAGGACATTTGGAAGTGACCAGGCCTGCAGGGGAGTGTAATTGGGGGAAAAACAGGGGAGGACATTAAGGGGTGATCAGACCACAGGGCAGGGCAGTTAGGGGTGACCAGGCTGGCAGGGGAGGCCAGTTAGGGGCAATCAGGCCAGTATGGGAACAGTTAGGCATTGATCAGGTTGGCAGGGTATTGGTTAGGAGGTGATCAGCTAGCAGGCAGAAGCAGTTAGAGGCAATCAGGGCAGGTAGGTGAGTGGTTGGGAGCAAGCAGTCCTGGATTATGAAAGGGATGTTCCACTGCCCATTTAGGCCAGATCCTGGTGGGCAATTGGACATCCCTTGAGGGGTTCCAGATTGGAGAGAGCACAGCCGGGCTGAGGGACACCCTGCACCCTATGTATGAATTTTGTGCATCAGGCCTCTAGTTAAATATATATTTATTCTCACTCTCTCTCTAAGATCATATGCCATCTTAGGAGACCAGCAGAGTCAGAACACCTCTCCACTACCTAAACTTATTAGAAAATAAAGGAATAATATTAAACCACTTGCTTTTAGGGTGGATTATTAAATAGCAATAGAGAATTATTATAAAAATCCAAATGAACAGAATTGAGGGAAATCATATTAATCTCCTACTTCTTACTTTTGGCATTTGTACTGATATGTGAGGACAGCACTCACAATCTGTTATTAAAATCACTTCAGATAACTGTATAGAAGTGCCTCCACAGAGGCTCCCTTCCAGGTAGTCTGGACACAGTAGAAGGACATGCATGTTTGTGCAGGAAAATGTGTGATGCTTAATCAGATGGCTGGGCAGGATTTCAACTCCTGTGTGGATTCATCCTTTGATCATAAAGACTAAAGCTATTTCTGAGTGTAAAGGACGTATACTGTATATAGTATTCTACTGAGATTGTTCATTCACTGTTCCTTTCGTGGATTCAAAAATGTTTAGAAAAGGGGAGATATTTAACTTAGAGCACTAGAAGGAGTCACATTTGGAGGGAGCACATTGAAAGATTTTCAGCAGAAACAGGAAAATAGTTCAGAAAAGGTACGTAAAACTCTCTAGGTAATTTTTTACCCCAGTGAATAAGAACCCTTACACATAGACATCATATCCACACTTTAATAAATAGATGTGCACTGTGGAGACCATGGTCTCAGATTTTCTTCTACAATAAAATTATGTAAATGCCCTTAGTAGCCAAATATAGTTTTGTCCACAGAGATAGCATAATTAATCACTATTCTTTCAGGAAAACAATAGAAAAGTTACTTGGAATGATATATGTCCTAAGACAGTGTTTCCCAAAGTGTGGTACATGTACCCCCAGGGGTACAGAAAGAGTTTGGTGGGGGTACATGTTACACCCGAGTTTGGTGGGGATATGCACTGCACCGTGCTTAGCTGCACCTATTCTACCTTCTCATGAGTACGAGGGGTGCTCAGCGTTGCAAAAATTATAGAAGGGGTACACGTATGTCAAAAGTTTGGGAAACACTGTCCTAAGAGATTATTCTAAAGCAATTCAAGTTAACTCATGAGAAAAATAAGAATTTTCAATTACATAGGTCCAAAGTTTGGCTTTATTTGTGTCAGAACAACAGACTTTGAGGCTTTGAAGCCTGCATTCATGAGCACTTCTTCAGGTTGGTACAATTGGTCCTTGAAAAGCTTACCTGCCAAGGAATCTTTCCAGGGCCCTCTTTATGTCATTGTTCCTGAGACTGTAGATGAAGGGGTTCAGCATGGGTGTGACCACAGTGTACAAAACCGAGGCTGTTGTACTCAAATGTGCATTTTGGGGAGCAGCAGAGCTGAGATACACTCCTAGGCTCGAACCATAAAATAAGGAGACAACTGAGAGGTGAGAGGCACACATAGAAAATGCCTGATACTTCCCCTGAGCTGATGGGATTCCACATATGGAGGCAATGATCTTAGAGTAAGAGTAAAGAATCCCAGCAAAGGGACCGATACCCAATGGCACAGTTAAAATATATAATATAATGGGGTTAAGTGCAATGTCAGAACAGGCGAGTTGGAGCACCTGACTGAGTTCACAGAAAAAATGGGGGATTTCTAAGTCTGAGCAAAATGACAGATGCAACAACATTAAGCTATGTACCAAGGAATTCAGGTTACTCATGATCCAGCACACCAGAACCAGCAGTCCACAGAGCCGGGGGTTCATGATGACCATGTAGTGCAGGGGGTGGCAGATGGCCACAAACCGGTCATAGGCCATCACAGTCAGGATTAAATTGTCCAACCCAGCAAAAACTATGAAAAAATACATCTGTGTGATGCAGCCTTCATAGGTGATGACTCTGCTCTGTGTATGGATGTTCCGTAGCATCTTCGGGATGGTGGTGGAGGTGAAACAGATGTCCACCAAGGACAGGTTGGAGAGGAAGAAGTACATGGGTGTGTGGAGGTGGGAGTCTGAGCTGACAGCCAGGATGATGAGCAGGTTTCCAAACACAGTGACCATGTACATGGAGAGGAAAAGCCCAAATATGAAGGACTGTAGCTCTAGTGACTGTGAAAGTCCGAGAAGAAGAAATTCTGAAATTTGTGTACCATTGCCTGGTTCCATGTGTCAGAGGTGACTATCAGGAAATAGAACAAATGAATAACTAATTTTCACATTAGCAAGAATTAGTAACTGAGAAACAATGGCACATATTGACTCCAAAGAGGAAGGGAGAGGGAGAAAGAGAGACATCAATGATGAGATAGAATAATTGATTGGCTGCCTCTTGCATGTCCCATACTGGGGATCAAGCCCTTAATCTAGGCATGTTTCCTTGACCTGAATCAAACCTGGGACCCTTCAGTCTGCAGACTGACGCTCTATCCACTGAGTCAAACCAGCTATGGCAGCACATTTATATTTCATAATTATAAATAATTGCCATGTTTGGTGTATGATCTGGTTCCCATTAAGTCATCTCCGTTGCATGTCTTATTAGAATTTTCTTTTTTTTTAATCATCAAGCAGTTCTTCAGACATAATGTATAGTATATTTTTGTTTTATTGAGGAATTCATTTGAGGAATATATAACATGTCCTAAAAATGCATAACCCATACTTTGAGTATTTATAAAAGCAGTATTTATTAAAGTACATGTTATTTTCAAAATTATACAGTGTGGATACATTTTTGGGGGACACCCAGAATGTTGACTATAGACCATGTTCTAGGGGCTGTTCACAGTATGAGATGCTGAAAGATAATAGTCTCTACAAACTAATAATGGAGGAGAATATAATAAAATTAAAAATAATATAACCTATCCAATGGCAAATCAAATTCAATGGAGAGAGTTGATAAAGGCTGTTGTTTTATTTTTTATTTTTTAAATAGAGCTTAGCCAAGACTCGCCAAGTGCTGAGCCACACTTGCCACCAGGTGACACTTAAACAGACACTTCAAACAAGACTAAGTGGGAGACTGAGGGGAAGTTTGCCAGGCATAAGAAACAGCCAGTGCAAAGGGCCCGAGGAAGAGGAAGATGGTTGTTTTAGAAAATCAAAGCTCAAAATGACCCAATGTGTCCAGTGGAATGAGCAAGGCAGGGCAGGAGCAGAGATGGTGTCAGAGAATAGTAAGAAACAAGGTAGCCTGCATATTGCTGTTGAAACTTCAAGTCATAGAGGGTGCCTTGTGCACACTAGGTAAATGTTGCACTTTATCAATCTGGCTGCAAAAGCATCCAGTGAATTGAAAAGGATCTCCTTCTTGTTGCCTTCTCTGTATATTAGAGTCACACTGGAATATGTGAGTTCAGGCACATCTGTTCTGAGGACTGCTCTCAATTTACAAGGTACACACACACACACACACACACACACACTAAACACAGCACACCATGGCCTCTTCATCTGTGTTATTTCCGTGATCTTCTCCCTCCCTCCTGCTCTATATAGACTATGAGTATATGCCCTCATGCTGTCCAGATCAAGTATCTATTTTAAAAGAAATTTAGAAATAGTGCCTAGTTACACCACCTTGAAGCCAAGCAAAAATAATAAATGAGAAAAAATAAATTTATCCAAAAGACAGAGGAAGTTATAAACATATGGTAAGAAACACCTTCCAGATTGACTACCCCATGTGAAAAATTATCAAAAAATAAATCAATACTCACAAAAAGATATATACAAAAACAACACAGGTTGAGTGTTTTGAACCCCAAGCAGTGAAAAGCTGATTTTTCCTGTGCCTCTTCTATATTTAGTAGATCAGTTGGTTTTTATGTAGATGAGTCAAGCCCCTTGCTCACTTTCCTTAGGTGGAACATATTTTCCTTTAACTTTGGGTTTTATTCTCATTTCTGACAAATGTTGAGCACAGTCTAATTCTGGATCATTCAATGGACAAAGGTCTCCCAGGACATGATCACTAAATCCTGCACTTGCCCTGTGAAGCCATCCTTCTACACCGAGTCATACAAACATTTATTTCATTGTACTCTGACTTCACCATCACAGTGCCAGATCCAAACAAGCCAGGTTTCACCTGTTTTGTTCACCTTTGTATTTTCACAAATGTATGTGACTATATGTGCACTTATATAGGAAATAAAAGGAATATATGTTTCATGAACCACTGTTGCAAGGTAATATTTGAAACAAATATATTGGATAAGGATCTTTCTCATCAATATGGATAGGTAGTGGAATAAACCTCATGATAAAAATGCCTTCATTTGCCGGGACCGGTTTGGCTCAGTGGATACAGAGTCGGCCTGAGAACTGAAGGGTCCCGGGTTCGATTCCTGTCAAGAGCATGTACCTTGGCTGCGGGCACATCCCCAATGAGGGGTGTGCAGGAGGCAGCTGGTGGATGTTTCTCTCTCATCGACGTTTCTAGCTCTCTGTCCCTCTCAATTCCTCTCTGTGTAAAATCTATAAAATATATATATATTTTTTTTAAAAAAATGCCTTCATTTTACTAGACATTTCCCTATATCTAGCACTCTATTTTCCTACTTCCTTTTAATTGCAAAACTCATTGTACAGTGGTGCCTCACACAACGAACTTAATTCGTTCCAGGAGCAAGTTTGTTATGCGAAAAGTTCGTTATGTGAAACGCGTTTTCCCATAACAATACATGTTAAAAAAAATAATTCGTTCTGTAGCATAAAATATACTAAGATGACATAAAAAAAGATAAATTTTTTGTTGTTATTTTTATTTAGATACATCTAAAAACATAATTTTTAAAAAAAAAACATTTTTTTAATTTTAAGACAGACTAAGTAGAGTCTACCGAATCTTGCACATCTTCATCCATTTTCTGCTTTTTGGCCGATGATTTCATGAAAAACCTGTCCAAAGTCGTTTGTTTTTCTCTTTTCTCCAACATCTGCCGGAAATAACGGACAAGAGTATCAGAGTAAAGATCGTTGATCCTGTTTGCTTCAGCTGAATCCGGATAGTGGGCATTGGTAAACTCCTGAACTGCTTTCCATTTGACCAGGATGTTCTTGATGTCAGCAGTTGGGATTGGTTGATTGTTTGATTGTTGCTCCTCGTTATCAGATGACGCTTCCCTTTGAGCATTGTCCTGTTGCTGGACCAGAAGTGCTTGGAGCTCTTCAGTTGTCAGCTCTTCTTCGTGTTCCTCAATAAGCTCCTCTACATCCTCTTCCTCTACCTCTAATTCCAACCTTTGGGCCACTGTGATGATGTCCTTCACCACTTCTGTGTCATCAACTACTGTTTCTTCCTGGGTCCACGAAGGCACAAGCATCTTCCAAGCAGAAATGAGGGTCCTTTGTGACACTTCTTCCCAGGCCTTCTGTATAAGTCGTATTGCCATAAGGACATCAAATTTCTCCTTCCAAAACTTTCGGACAGTCATATTGTCTCCACCAAACTCGCATTCTTCAAACACCTTATTAAAGAGGGCTCTAGTGTAGAGTTTTTTAAAGTTCGCAATAACTTGCTGATCCATTGGCTGAAGAATGGATGTGGTGTTTGGTGGCAAATACTGCACCTTGATAAAAGGATAATTTTCCTGCAATATTTCCTCTAGGTCTTTTGGGTGAGAAGGGGCATTGTCAAGTATCAGAAGGGCTTTGAGCGGCAGTTCTTTTTCCAGCAAGAATTTCTTCACAGCAGGAGCAAAGGTTTCCAGAATCCATTCGTTGAAGATAACTTGGGTCATCCAGGCTTTTTGATTGGACTTCCAATGGACGGGCAGTTTGGACTTAATAACGTTATTTTTCTTGAAAATTCTTGGATTTTCAGAGTGATAAACCAATAGAGGTTTGATCTTGAGGTCTCCGCTGGCATTAGACGAAAACATAAGGGTAAGTCTGTCCTTCATGGCTTTGTGTCCTGGCAATTTCTTCTCCTCTTTTGTAATGAAGGTTCTGCTCAGCATTCTTTTCCAGAAAAGACCCGTTTCATCGGCATTGAACACTTGTTGTGGGCAGTATCCTTCATCCTTAATACATTTTTGAAAGTTAATAGAGAACTTTTCTGCTTCTTTCTTGTCAGCACTGCCAGCCTCACCATGCATAGTAACGCTGTGGATTCCACACCTTTTCTTAAATCTAAAAAACCACCCCCTGCTGGCTTTGAATTCTTCTTCATTATCTTGATTGCTGCTACTTCCAGGGACGTTTTTCTTTAGATCGTCATAAATTCTCTTGGCTTTGTGACAGATAATATCTTGGGTTGTTACGTCACTTTTCACCTGCCTGTCCTTAATCCAAATCGCTAATCTCCATTTCCTCGTGGATTGAAGACCTATGTTTTTCATGAAATAGTTTTGATACTCCTTTGGCTACTTTGGCTGATTTGATTGCATCCTTATTTGTCAAAATGGTGAAAATGGTGATCTTGCTGAGGCCAAACTCTTTGACGAGGTCACACTGTTTTACCCCACATTCACTCCTTCTAATTATTTCCTGTTTCATTTCAACAGAAATCACCTTCCTGCTTTTTTTAGAAGCCATGATATAAAAAAAATATTGAGTTTAACTTAAAAGGACGACTGCCGTGATACGTGCGTGATTTAATTCATAATGAAGAACGATTGCCGCGATAAGTGCTTAAGTTAAGTGCAGTGACCAACGACTGCCTGCAGTGCCTGCGCGGAAGGATGCAATACATCGGCAGCGATCGTGGAAGCTCGGGCGAAGCAGTCATGGAAGCTCGGGCAAAGCAGTCGTGGAAGCTCGGGCGACTTCGTTGTGTGAAACGAAGTTCGTTGTATGAATCATGAAATGAAGTTCGTTGTGTGCAGCGTTCGCTGTGTGAGGCGTTCTTTATGCGAGGCACCACTGTATATGTTCTACTTTTACTTGAAATACCTTATGCCTCCCATTGCCACCTTTAATTGGGCTTCCATCAGTTAATTGTCAACAATTATGCCTGTGTTACTGAGTTCCACGTTCACTTCTTTTTAGCACAATATATTAATCATTAATTAGTTGAACAGGCAAACAAACTACCATAGGCTGATGCCTGTCAAGAGACC